TTTGTATAGAAATTATTTTTGAACCCGCTTATACGGCTTATACCACTTATGTTAGTTATGGACCTCTCCGACTGAATCCGCTTTCACAAAATACCGGGTCCGCCACTGTATGGTATCATGTTTGAATGGTATGAGCTGCGTTGGTTTATACTGTAATTCCAGATGCTCATAGTAGCTCATAATAGATTGTATTTTACAAGCTAATTCAACACTAGTTGAAATCAAATAGTGAGTATAACAATTAAATGTATTATACAGATGATAGTCAACATCAATTGTTACCTATTAAATGAACTATACATATTTGACAGACCACATCAGCTGCTATCTTTCTAAGTATAATGTTGGGCTTCAACAGTGTAAGAATCTAAATGGAATAGCTTAGACTTCTTGATGTTGGATTATTATATATACATATTGCTGCCATTCCGTATAACAGAATTAAGCTATGCAAGAGGATTGCCCTATCTGCACAAAAGCTCTTTGTTCATGAATTGCATAATTCTACTAATTGATATCATCTTTCTTGCTTTAAATTTATAAATGTGTTAAGTTACTCTTGTCTTGGTAAGGCATATGAAGAACGTACATCGCGATATCAACTTAAATATTTTCTTTAAAAAGACAATTTTGATGCAATGTGGCGCGCACAAAATCTGCACATTTGTGTATCTGAAGTTTGTACTTGTATATATCACATGTTTTTATTTGTTCTTAGTATAAAGTTATCCAATTTTATGATGATTATCCCTTGTATACAAACGATTTCTTAGAATAACACCGAAACCAATAAGTTATAACCATACTTATTATTATGCAGGTAGCAGAGTAATCTCAATTTATCAAGATGCCTATGAGAAAGTACTCTGATGCTTTGGTGGAAAACCATATCCCCATTCCAGTAGAAATCTTTTCTTGAAAAAGGAGCTAAATAGGCAATTAATGAATAAGTTAATCACGTAGGGGATTTGGGTAATAGTTGTACTTTGAATAAGCTAAAAACTTGTGCAAGAGTTGCACAGATAAATGCTAAAATACTTTTGTATAACAACCAAAAAGAGCTCTACTTGATGAACGACAAGCTATATCAGTGTATTGAGCTGCAATTCGAGCAACAAATATCTAATAAGCAGTATACATAACTGAAGCATGAAAATAAACTGATAAATACTCTATATGCCAACCAAAATAAATACTCTGCTACTTATTCTGCTACAAAAAAAGTACTCTGCTACAAAAAAAATATTGTGCATACTAAGCTTGTTTAGGGAAAATATATATAGCAAATTCGCTGTATAAATCTTTTCTTCTGATTAGTTTCCAAGTATATAAGACGATTAAAAAGCAATCATAAAAAAATATCACATGCTGCTACTTATTCATGAATGATTGTAGAAAACAACTTATAAATGCCAGGAATAGTTTAGTAGCATAATTGATTTGGACGTATAAGTAGAGTAAAAAGGATATCCTGCTATATATCCTTGAATGGTATAAGAACAAAACCAATACATTCCAGTAATACTTCAATAGCATAATTACTTGTCCATGGACATTAAGATAAAAGAGTGTTTTATATGAGAAAACCATAATCAGTATTACATAATCGGTTTCATTTCCCAGGGACTTCCGCATCACTAGCGACAAGCAGATCCTGTTTCATTCTGCCATATTCCCACATTAACACGCCAAACCTGAGGCGTTGACCATTGATATCAGACACGTTTTGTCCACATATGAATGATTCCGCGAACATTGCAACAAGCACGCCACATTTAAAAAATAGAAACTTAAAATTACCATATGTGTAAGAGAAGAATTAAGTTATACGACAACCTGTATAAGAAATTGTAACAATTTGCATAAATCTTACGTGTCTTGCTAAATTGGTAACTCATCAACCACGACAACATCAAAGGGATCATCCTCTGTTTTATCTTTATATGGACCTTGATTCAATTCGATGTCATTCCTTTTGTGATAAAAACTAAGAGCACCCAAAAAGTACGGGGGTGTAACAGCATATGCGTCAATTACTCTCCGGACCTTGGATTTATAAGCGATACCTTGCTTTGAATCATAAAGGTAAATGCATCTGCCTTTGAAAGATAGAATTGCTAGTACCCAGTGCCAATTGTCCATAGAAACAAGAATGGGAAATAATATGTGGTCGACAGTATGCCACGGACGGTTACAAAGCATTAGATTACCCAGAATATATTGGGCGAGATCGTGACCAGGATTCAACACGAAGACATCTCTATTTTGTCCAATAAATTTCTTATGAAGAGCCTTAATCTTCAAATCAAATAAATAATCTGTGGTGGTGAACTTCACTGTAACATTCAGATCATATTTCCCCTTCTTCCTTAAATAGTAAAATAAGATATCCACATGCTGTCAAAGAATAAAAATATGTTTATACATGTTGCTCCTTGACTGTTGTCTATAAACTCACAACCAAAGATATAAGACATCTATAAATTAAAGAATATATTCAAATGTATAAATATCTAACGTACAGTATCATTTAAAGGTTGGCCTTTGTATGCAAGCTGGTGGAACCACTCCTTCTTATGGACATGCATAACCCCAAATTCAAATGGCGGCTGTAATACATTATCCTTTTTGTTGTAAACACAACCCCTGAAAAAAACTGAATTTAATATCACAATGGAGGTCTATAAAAAACCATAGTTATGCTAAATACAGTGGGTACTTACTTTCTTTTTGTCCTCAAACCTGTAGTAACCCAAGTTTTGAAAGCACTCGTGATCTTGTTGTAATCATCAGCATTTGCAAAGTCTACGAAAGGGTGTCCTCCAGTCACAATGGTCTTTGTTGAGCGTCCTCCCACCGAACTGTTGCTTGAACCAATAAAACTCAATAACGATGACTTATTGACTGATCCAGGGCGCTCCTGTCCTATAAAACATTCAGATGTAGGTTCCACTACCGCCGGATTTGTATATTTCACAATTTGTGACTCTGGGACGTCAATGTAAAAATCCTACATGGGATCTTTGGCTGGATATCCAGCACCAACATAAGCATATTGATTAGACATAATCACATTTAAAAAATATCATTATACAACATGTATGATATTATGATATATTTACTAAAATATCATAATACAACATCATAAAAGTTACCAGATGCCTCAGGATTTGTATATTTCACAATCTGGGACTGCGGGACGTCAATATAAAAGTCCTCAATATGATCCTTAGCTGAAGCACCAGTTATAGCATCATCATCTTGCTCGACTTTGGGTAGATAATAAGCATACACACATCCAGGACATGTGAAATGTGTATAATCAGTTTTACAGATCATGAAGTAGTGAAAAAACCGTAACTGAAATTGTATATCCTGAAAATCATCCTTAACCACTTTTGCTCGTTTCTTGTCATCTAACTTTCTTGTCGGTTTATGGTTACTTATACCTAATTCATCCATGTTTGGATTTGCAACTTGATTATAACTTTTGGAAGTAGAATGTGAAGGTACTCTAGAAACAATTGCCAGGCCTTCGCCTTCCACCCTTTGCTCCCTAAAACTCCCCATTTGCAGACGCCTCTGGTTTGCAGATCTTTCAGGAGTTTCATACAACAACTCAAAACAGGGACGAGAAAGGGGTAAAACATTTTCACTACTTCCTGAAGGAGAATCAGGATAGGTATCCCTGATGGCCTTGACAGCCGATACATCCAAATTCAATCCTCTGCCCAAATAATTGTTCGTAACATTTATTTGTGGTTGTTTTGACTTCTCCATTGTTGCAAATTCTGTGGAAAAAATATGAAAGGCTAAGATTAAATTATTCACAAACTGATATAAAAATGAATCAAAATATACAGATTATATGTTTTTCTTACCTTAAAGTTCAAAAACCCACATAAGCAATAGAGAAATTGAAGAAGTAATCGGATATTTATATGAATCAATAAGAGATTTATGAGTTAATTTGTATGTATTGTGGCACGAATCCTGATCAAAATTATCGTCGCCATAAAGAAAATTGATAGTAATACCCGCAAATCTGTGTGAAATTTATCGGAAGCGTGAATTAATTGAATGATAAATAGGATAAGAAGAAATATCCAGAGTATATGAAGGCTCCATCAGCGAGATACGGAACTAAAAAATACGTAGAGAGAAAGTAGGAAAAACAGGGTTTTCCCTTGATTAGTGCAATCCGTTAATTTATTAAATGTTGAGACTATTTTTTATAATCTGCTACAAATGTAAAAAAAGTGCTTTTTGTGAAATAAATAAGGAATACTACTATTTATTTAAATAATAGTTAAAAAAAGATCAAGCATGTAAAAACCTCTAAAAATTATTAGAATCTCACTGTCCAGGATGTAACTCATTAAATTTTTAAATCTTCAATTCGTACACTAACAGAAAGAAAAAGAAAAAGAATTTAGTTAAAGTAAATTATTTTTTATTCTACAAAAGACAAAATACATTCCAAATTTGTCAGTTACTACTTTATCTTAAAAAATGTATTTTATCAGTTATTTCTTGAAAGGCTGAAATATTTAAAAAGTACTGTTTTCTTACGTACAAATAACTGCATGTAAAATGCAATTCCACTGTTCCCACTTCCACGTGGCAGAAGCTTAGCCTTAGAGAAAGTTTATTAAATTCCATATCGGTCCTACTTATAAGTCTTCTTTACCAAATCTCACCAATACTTTTTACTTTATTCTATTTTATTCCCCCATAGGCCATATCTTTCCTCATAGTAATATACCAAATCTTCTCCTTCACGCTTTCATTGCCACCATCGTTTTTCCAGTCTCTTGTTTTGATTCCACGCAAAAACCCATTCAAAATAATTCCATAAGAAAACCCTAATCACAATTATATAGAAATTTCCCAAAAAAGGCAAGAATATTTTCAAGTTCTTTTTTTGGGGGGATTCTTGATTTTGATTCAAAAACCCATTTTTAAGCCCTTTAACACAGACCCAAAATAATTGGATTTTTAAAGACTGTGTGAATTTTTACAAAGTTGAGAACTTTAATAAAAGAGAAGAAAGCGAGAGAAAATTGAAGAAAAGATGTTTGGTTTGATGTTTTATTGAAATTTTCGTTGATCACAATTCAATTCAGAGACTTATGTGAATTTACAAGGTTTCCCCAAAAAGAATTGAAGAAAGAGTAGATAAAAGGAGGGTTTTTTTTGTGGGATTATTGGTTGATCAGAGAACTTACCCTTTTGATCAAAATGGAGTTTTGATTTGCAAATAGAAAAAGATGGGAAGGGCGTTGTTCTGTTGTTTTCACCACTGTTCCATTTGTTCTTCAAACAGTGAAAAGTAAGGTTCTTTAAATCCTCTCTTTCTTTACTTGACAATTGTTAGTTGGTATAAAATGATGGGTTATGCTTCTAATTATTGCTTAATAGTTGGTTCTTCTTTGAATCTTTTTTAGTTATGAGTTCTTTAAACTTTCATCATTATTGTGTTGTTTGGAGTCCTGTTTTGTGAATATGATGGTGATAATTTTTTTTTTTTTAAAATGCTCATGTTTGCGCACCTCAACTGTTAACGGGCGGGGGCAGAGTTACTGTGTTGGTTGCGGTTCGACCACTTGAACCTAGTAACTTTGGTTCAATACATGTTTTTATGTTAAGAAATCTATTGATTAAGGACAACTGATAAATCTAGAATCTAGTAACTTAAAAGGACTAGAATCCCGAATCATAAGTTTCAAATCCTAGCTCTGCCTCTGGTATGGCTAACTTTGCCCACCAAGGCTTAGGCTGAAAAGAATTCCTTAAATGATGGTGGTAATATCTAAAATAGGACCACACTCAACTAGTTAATATATTGGATGTTGAAAAGCTAGTTCTTGTTTTTTCTTTTCCTTCTTTTTATTTAAAGCAGAACTCTAATGTTATTGATTGTTAGAACATTAAGGGACCGAGAAAGAGTATTAGTAAGGGATCTTGTATATAGAGCTAATATAGAATTGTGTGTCATTGTGGGTTTTAAGCTTTACAATTTTTGGTCTAAAGTTCCCTTTTTCCTCTGTTTTTTTTGGGGGGTGGGGGTGGGGGGTTGAGGAGGCCTTATGAAGTTGTGTTGTTCAGGACTAGTTCTGGGTTTGGAAAGAAATTTTTACACTTGGCTGAATCTACCAAAAAACATGTGGAGTGTTGTAAATAATGATGTTCTTGATATGAACTTTGTTATCCTTTTAGATTGATTATCCATGATTGCGAACCATATGATATGTCACAATTCAAGAGAACTTAAAGCTTTTGTGTTTTTTGGGCAAACGAGTTAAAATTCATTGTTGTTGGTGTTGGTGTTGCTGATTGTTAAAGCATTCTAAGAGGGCTCGTTATATGAAGAATGATAATAGTCCGGGGAAGGCTCGCACAAGTTTGAAGTTGAGGAAGATAATGAAGTGCTTCTGCTCGGGGGAACAATTACAGATAGATGATAGGGATGAATCCCTTGCGACTAAGGATTACGCAGCAAGTCTCCGTTCATCAAGAACCAGAGAAGCTGAACCAAAGCCAGATATTGGCGATATTGAAGAAGCTGAATCATCTTTGCGCGAGAGTGGTGCTTTAAATTATGAGGTACCAATCACAAAAGTTCTGTTGTTATCTCTCTCTCTCTCTCTCTCTCCAACATTGCCATGTTAAGTTTGCCTTTTGTGTAGCATCTCATCCTAAACCATTTCAAGTTTCCATTGTATGCACAATCAAACTTCTCTATA